TCTTGAAAGATACATAATGCTATGGGGAAATATTTCTTTTTTCCAATCACAATTTAAAAAAACAATGCTGAAGTTCATGAATCAGTTATTAAACATAAATATTTAATCTTAAAATGTAAACAATGCTAAATTTACTTTACTCTTCATATAATTAATTTAGATTATCTTTTAACCATTTCCTTCAAGAAAAGATAAAATTTAATGAAGTCAGTACAATTTAAATTTTAATCCAGTGTTTTTTTTTTAACAAAACATGAAATAAATTTTTATTCATTTTATATATTCTTACTTAAATCTTAAAAAAAGGAAAAAACAGAGCACCAATTTAAAACTCAAAAATATGAGTTTGAAGAAATTATTGTTATCATTATCTGTAAAGATGCATAAACTGATGTGAAGGATTGATACATTTCATTTTTATCCTACCTCTAGAAAATTAACCTGTAATTTAATTTCAAATTTTCATAATTCTGCTTATCTTTAACTGAAAAATTGAGATTGTTATAAATTTTGTTCATTTTAATTTCTTGCTTGATAAAGATTAGGTTTACTTTATTTGTAAATGAAGTAGCATACTTTTAAAAAAATTAAATAATAGAAGATCCCTTCTGAAAGTTTCTTTCTTCTTCACATTTAAAGTAAATCAAATTATTGTAATACAGAAAAAAAAATTAAGTCACAGGCATTACATAATGATCATTATTAGAGCAGTTATTTGTATATTTGATATTCTTTTAGAATTTATCTTAAATGTTATTGAACCAGGAAAAACATTCATTTTAATCATGACTTTTTTGTAGTAATCTTAACATGGTGAATTTGTCAGGGAGATAACTTCTTGATAATATCAGCCTGGAGAGATGATCCCAGAATGTGCCATGGTCAGGAAGTACCTGAAAACCATATTACAGGTTAACTGAAACTTTGTGAGTGAAATTGGGTAAATGAAACTGTTTTGAAGCCATTGATGGTTGTTCTAGCACAATGTCACAAATCATTGTGACTGAGGTTTTCAGTATATTGATCTTGTTCAATTACTGGTCACACCAGAGTGAGTTTTCTCTCCCAGAAACTGTAACTAAGGTTCACTCAAAAGAGTTGCAGTATAAAACCAGGTATTGAAGAAACACAAATGTGCCTGAGGTATCTGTAACAGGGATTAGCTAAAAACATTAGTAGACTTTATAGTTTCCAGAGACTGACAAATAACTACTATTAAGTGAATTTTTATTTTTTTTATTTTCAGCTGAGATCATGTTAAACCAATTTAATGACCTTTGTTTACATGTGTAATCTATCATTGGTTAGATAAGATGCTCTCAAGTAGATTTGCTTGTGGATTAAGAAAATAGCCTTGATAAAGTTAATTACAGATGACTAATGTTTTTTTTTCTTTTTTTTTTTCACAATTTTAACAATTTGTTTTAGTCAGTCTGTTTACATTCTCCCACTCTGTATCTGATAAGCTTAAACTCAGATAGCAAATGTATTTGTACTTACATATTATATTTTATCACTTTGCATAAAATCATCCAATATTTTTGCCACTCCCTATACATAATTTAATGCACAGTAAAAGAAATAAAACTCAGACAAATTAAAAAGACATTTTTGTATAAATTATAACTGAGCACAAAGTGTTCAAAGATATCTTTTTTCAACATTAATTTTATTTATACTGAAGGATAATGAGGAAATAAAGAAATTATTCCTACAGTTATATGTAAATATAAAATAAAAGCAGCTTTGTCTATAATAACAGTGATATGATAGAATGGTGAGAAAAAAATGAAAAAAAGTAACAGAAATTTAAAAATACTGTTCATCCTACCAAGGATTTTTTCTTTTATATGTAAAGTTAATGTTTGGAAGATTGATTGGAAGGTCAAAAAATAAAAATTCTGCAAGAAACTAATTTTAGAAGAACAGACATTTTGCTTCTCCCTATTAATATGATTGCTAATCATAAATATAATCAAATCATTAATTTTTTTTATTCCCTCTTAACTATAATTATATTTTAATTTTGATTGGTCATTTCAATCCACACCTCCTCAAGGAGTTGTAAATGTTGATCATTTAATAATAATATAAATAATATATCTTGTCAGGCAACAACGCTTTCAAGCAAGGATTGATTTTTTTTTGAGTCATGGTTGAAGATCATATGCAAAAAAAAAAAAAAAAAGTTAATATATCATATTTATATGTTATAACATACAAAAATATTTTATGATCTATGTTGCTCATATGATATCAGTTAATTTGTTTAAAATAACATTGACCATGCCTGATTGTTTGTTAGGGGCAGAGCCCATATGTTAAAAAATATTTATAAGGGAAGAGTGCTCAATATTCAACATTGGGCATTTGTAGATATAGATACATGGTTTGAAGATCACTTTAATTGTGAAAATGACAGTTGCCATGCATTGTTGATTCCTATCAAGATATCTCTCTCTCTCACACATAAAATCCATACTTCCTATACTCTCTTCTGCAAAACTTATCTAAAGTCTTTTTCTGGTCGAGTTTTTTCTATATACTTGACAGTAACACTAATATTCATAATTAACTGCTCAAGTTGATAGATTTCTATTAAAAATAAAATAAGATAAAGAAAAGGAAGTGATATAAGAGAAGTGTGAGCTCCTAAATAAGAGCACAGACAAGAAATTACACGATTTAATGGAATTACTCAAAGGTTCTAGATATTATACTTTGAGTAAACAAGTGAATACATTATTATGCATATACTATGTTATTAAACATTGAAAACATTAACAAAAACAGTATGGGCAATAGATTTGTTTTTGAAATATTTTCATATGCATCATTTTCTACTTCAAAGGAAAATGGTATATGTTCCTTTCTGCCAGTTAAAAAAAAAAGACTGGATTCCTCTAGTAAAAAAACAAATTATAATGTAGGATTTACTCCCCCACCTCACTACTTTCCAAAAATGCAAATTGAATATCTGTTTGTCTTCTTGTCCAGAAGTTTATAAGAGTCAACAGAGATATTAGCAGCTTTGCTAAAAGTCAGTATGACAGAAAATATCTTGTTTTTTTTTACATGACCCAGAAAATCATATAAATTTCCTTAAACTAAAGCCAGCACAGTGGTTTTCTCTTAATGTGATGGAGAGTTACTGGCATATCCATTTGCTTCCTTCTTTAAAAAAAACTAGCTTTTATTTAATTATTATTTCCTTTTTTCAAATTGACTATCTTTTATGATTAGCTTTCAAATATTGAGAAAACTTGTCAATGTTCTATCATTAATTTATCATGAGATATATAATTTCATTATAAGGTCTGCTTAGTGAGATTCTCACTGGTGCAGTCAGTTTTTGAGCACAAAAATCAGGTTTTCAAATGCTGATTTTCTAGGCAGGCAGTCTTATACTTTAGGGGAAAGATAAATTTAGTAAATATTAATTAAAAAATATCAGAATAAACAATCTTAAAATATTTTTACATAACATGTGTAAAATAAAAAAAATTGTATAACTACAAATTTAGTAAGTTGGTTATTTCGGAGATCTCAGTAAAACAATAATGTGAAATATTGAATAGTCATTTTTCATTATTAATAAAAATAAAAGGACTTAAGAAGAAGTAAAAAGAAATTGAAAATGAAAAGCAAAAATTACATGCATCAATGAAATTTAGCAGAAAATATATCAGAAATTAAAAAAAAAAAAATACGGATAAATTGTCAGTTCATTCCAATATATTTTTTTAATTTAATAAATGTGAATTTAGCTTATTTTTTAGGCTTAAAAAAAAAATAAAACGAACACTATGACAGGATTCAGAAAAAATCTGTGTACTGTGTAAGTGTGTGTACAGCGTACAAAAAAATTTAAGAACATATCGGCTTCATTAATTTTAAAAATTTAAATTTTGAAACACCAGTAAGTATAATAATTAAATTAACGTTGGTGCGTTAGAATACTGTTCATTTTTTTCTTTTAAACAAAACTTCAATAGAGAAAGCCAAAATAGTTTATGTGTTTTTTTTTTTGCAATCGCTGCTAGTGGTCAGCAGTTACATGAACCGGAATTAGAACAACTTGGGCTTTTTTTAGTGATTTGTAGTTTTACTTTGTGGATTTACAAAGTATTTTGTAATAAAAAGACACTTTAGAGCAATTTAATTTCTAATTAATATTTTTTTTTTATTTCATTTCTATAGCAATTCCCTTTGGCATAAGCGATTAAAAAATACCCGTACCACCTTATTCATTTTTTTAAAGGAAACCAAAGCCTTTTTTTTTTAATTTTCACGTTAAGATTGTATTTAATTTACAATGTAAATTTTACATCTATATCAACGACTCAGATTTATCAGTAAATATATAGGTGATCATATTTTATAGATCTTTTGAGCATTAGTAATTAAACAATAAGACAAAAATTGGTTAACACCTGCAAAGTGCAAATATATTCACTACTACTTACTACTACCTACCACCATGCAGTGTGTGACTTCTTCAACCTTACAGTTCTTATGACAAGAAGAGACTGTGATTTCCATGTAAAAACTAATTTTAAATAAATAAAATAATCTGAGAAAAATATTAATATCATCTCATTGTTTCCAAGTGATTTAAAGCCTAGTTTTCTACTTTATTTTATTTATTTATTTATTTTCTAAACCGGGGAGAAATTCCTAGTGCTTCAATAGTGACAGCAAAATTATAACAAATGTCACTTCTACCAGCTTGTTTACATTTTATAATCGAAGCGAACATTGAAAGAATGTACTCTTTCTAGTATTTTTTGGGAAATGAAATCATCGACAAATCAAGAAAGAAGATGAGCAAATAAATGAAAATGGATTTGTTAATGAAAAATAAATCAACGGTATAGAAAAGGATACCACTAGGTCATTTTAGAGAGTCACAAAACAACACTCGACGTGTGTGTAAAAGCAAACCACTTTACAGACAAGCTTTTTTTAAGCGATTTTTTGTTTAATAAAAGTCTACTTACCGGAACCCGAAGGTCCTGGTGATACTGTAGCTGCTGCTGCCATGACAAATAGTGTGTTTTTTAGTGAAATAACGTGGATAAATCGATAAATGAAGAGTTAAAAGGCTAAGAAATACAAGGGTAGGTATCGGAAAATCACAGTCTGCTGCTGTTGGCTGTCTCTAGGAAAAATCATGGCAGAACAAAGAATCACGTTGGTGTGGCGAGAAACGGCGAGATCTGTCCATGTTATTTTCTATCATCAGTCTGCTGCCGGAGTTGAGAAGCACAACAAAATGTGAATCTACATAAAACCTCGGCGACTATCTACAGAATAAAAGAATGAATTCCGGGTAAGTTTCATAACATTTGATTGTGTACAAAATGCCTTTTAAAAGCATACGGAAGCAGCATGTTTATTTATTATTTTTTTCGCCTTCAATGTTTTAATTTATCGCTTGATATCCTGGGTTTAAAAATGAATCAAGTCAGCAAGTGAATTATTGAAAATGAGGGATCAGTAGAGAATGAGTGAGTGAATGAGCAAGTGACGAAGATCGGTGATTGAATGTTCGCTTTTTAGTTTAAATTGTCATTTGAAACTATTTCATATTCTTAGACCCTTTTAATAAAACCACATTTTTTTAAATAAATATTTTAACTGATATTTTTATTACTAATAATTAATTTTTTTTCAACTTGGTCTTTCTTTACTCGCTCCCACAATTAGAAACTGACCGTCTCCACCCCCCTCAAATTCTCGTTATTTCTGCTTTGTACATCAATACTCATGACAATATCGGTTTATTTTTTCATGCTATTATTATTGGTTAATGAGTCTAATGACTGTTTTCGTATATTCGTGTTTTTTTTAGACATAAGGAAAATTGACAATAAAGTCAAAGTGAATTAAAAATCTAATTTTTGTTGGCTTTTTGTTTTTACAAGTCAAAAAAATGTTGCTTTGTTTGAAATGAATGAATGGATTAGTTTCTGTTTACTTAGCTTTTTATAGTGGTAATTTTAATTTTTTTAATATTACAAATTTCAGTTAAAAAAGTTGATTTCCTCTTCCCTGTCCCGTTTTATTTTTTATGTGCTACGCATGAATTTTAAATTAAAGAGTAAAAAAAGAACTAGTAGCTATTTTTTTTACATTTATTTCTGTTACATTTTTCTAGTTTTTCATTTTATTCCTGTTAAAAATAGAAATTTTTTGAAAGGAAGAAAAATAAAACCTTGTTATTATTTATGACCAAGTTGGAATGGCCTTGTTTATGACTCAGTATGTGCCTATTTAATTTTTAATGATGTCGATTTTGAACTCTGCTAAACGAAAATGATCCCACCCCCAACATGCTCGAAATTCATCATTCCCGGTGTTAATCATAAGCGAACAACAGCATGTGGTTTGGTTAGTGCGCATATTTTTAAAATGATGGTACTTTATGAAATTGAAATTTAAACGTTTACCAGAACATTTCAAGATCGACATTTACAAGTCCTTGAGGAGGTGTGGATTGAAATGACCAATCAAAACGAAAATATTTTTTTGTGACCAATCAAATCAGATAGTTCACGCAAGCGATACTTTTTTTTTTCATTCAATAATTTAAAAAAAAATTAAAGCGTGCGAAAATTTTCTTGAAAAGAAAAATGATTCCTGTTTCTTTTTAGCTGTATATTTGTGTGCATGCGTTTAAACAACTTATATACGCAAAAGTATTTTTGTGGTTTTTGTATCTGCTGGATCAAAAATTTAATTTTGGCAGATCAATTTGGCTTTTTAAAGTAATTTTTTTAATAAATTAATGCCACTGAATTACTTTCTAGATCAAAATAATTAAATCAGAAACTTGGTTATTAACAAACGAAAAGTAAAACTCCAAGCATTCTGTTAAAAAACCATGTTGCTCAACACTCAACAACAACACTAACAGTGTTACACTCAACACTACTACAGTTTTGTTTACTACTGAAATAATCTGTGAACTGAAATCCATTTAATCTACTGATAAAATAAAAATTGTGGGGAAAGTATTAAGATTTGAGGTTTTTTCCACAAATTTCCAATGTTTAAGCTTGTGAAGATTAAAATTAAATCCTCTTCATTAAATAAGCAATCAATAAATTATATACACATGGTGTGCTGAAAAATTTTTGGTTCGGCCTACTTCTCTTTTAAACCTTGCCAAAAATTAGAATCCTGTTTTTAGAATCCCCTCTTGATTCGACTAATAACTTTTTTGTACCTTTGTGTACAAGAAGGCTTATGTGTTTTTTAGTTCCTGACTGCATAGAATGCCAGAGCTTTTGATAATAAATTACAAAAGAAATTATATTGTCTACTTTTAAAGCTATTTTTTTTTTTAAATGGGAAATGCAATTTTACTTTTACTTCTTGTCTTGATTGAGAATTAGGCTTTGTAATTACCTTGATCTTTTTCAATATGTTAAAAAAAATGATTTTTTTTACAAATGACATCCTCCTAGAAGGATTCTGCTGCTTTAACAATGAAGTGGTGATTAATTTAAAAAATGATAAGCAAGTGTAGTAGTCTAAGTAAATAATGCATTTTAAAGGCTCTAGAGACCTAAAAAGTTAACTTTTTTTGTGTGTAATGATGCGACTAAAAAAAAAAGTGCAGTTGTCTAATTGAATAGTAAGGCAGGGCGGAGTTGTTATTAATTAGAGACTAGTCACTAAATAAATACCTTTATTTTGGATTCAGTCCAAGTTGAAGTGGTTGAAGAGCAGTTTCTCTTAATAAAATTATAAAACATCTTTCAGTTACTAAACTTTTTATTGAATTTTTACTTTTGCATCAAGAAATTCTTTTACGATATCAATTATCAGAATTCAGAAATTTTAAACTGGTAAAAAAAAAATATTTTGTTACTTGACTAAAAATGCTTATTTTGATTCCTCTTTAACAGAACTGGTTTTCTATTCTGGTCTTAATTTCCAGTAAGTTTTATTTTTATTGAATAGAAATGTAGATTTTTTTTGTAATATGTTACTTTAGAATAGATTTTAGAATCATAAATTGAGAAAATCTTGGTTTATGCAAAAAAAAACGCACTTTAAAACACTATGAAATTCAAATGTTAAGCAAAGATTGCGTTCTGTATGAGAAAGAATACCTTCTCTCCCTTTTGAAATGCCAAGTTAAATGTCAGTATGTTAGTTAAGCTATGGCACTTTTGTACTAACATCTGTACATTACATATAAATGTGTGTGTGTATATGTGAACTTTGTTTTTTTCTTAAACTTATCATAAGAGATAAGTACAATTTATCTGATTAAAAACACTATCAGCTTTGAATTATATAGTTACAGTTTGGTCAGCAAGTTCTTCAATGTATTATCAACATTTCTTGACAATACTAATCACTGAAATCGGGCATAAATCTGGAATGGAAAGATAAACAAAAATATGTATGTATATTTCATGACAAATTTTTGAAATCTGAGTAGTGGGCTCATGGCCTGAATTTACTTTGATAAGAAGACTAAGTAAGAAGAGAGAATCACAGGAACATGAAATAGCTGAAGCGTGTTTTTTTTTTTTTTTTTTTTTTTTTTTAGAGGTTGATAATAAGTAGGAAAATGGTCTGTGGAGTTTGATTCTGCTTAATAGTTATTTGGGCTAAGAAGGTAAAGTCTTAAGCTATAATGTAAAGATGTCGACAAAGGGAATAACCTATAAAAAAACAGTTATAGAAAATATTCTTTTAAATTAATTAAAAATAAAATCCATATTAAGAAAAATATGCACAATAGAAAAACCTTATGAAGGTTTAAATTTTGTTTTAAAGTAAAAAGTTATGAAAAAATAAATAAATAAACACTTTTAAAAGTATCTATTTTCATTTTCTGGATGCAAAGTTTTCTATTTTTTGTAACTAGAAAGTTTTTTTTTTTTTTTTTTGTTGATATAATGAAGCTGAAGTATAACTGAATTTGACTCAGATGCATAAAGTGTGTTTTGCCTGAAATAACATTGATTGTCATTATTTCATTATGTGCACTGATTGTATTTAAAATAGTCTGCATTTGGCTGTAAACATTTCCCCTAAAATAATACTGGCTGAGGGGGAGAAGAGGATTCATACCCTTTCACAAGAGTATTAGCATGTAAGTGAATGTAAATGGTTTTACTTTTGTTTGACTGGAACTCGGCTCTCCAATTCCTCAAACCGAGCCGGAGAGCCGAGTTCGAATTCATTACAATTCACTTACTTATAGATAGCTGATTCTTCATTCATTAACAGTCTAAAAAACAAAACAAAAGTGATACTTATGACAAGATTTTATTGGACATGTTAATTTTCTTACATAAACTTTCATCATGATAAGTACAATACAATGCAAACAAAATTAATTACTAATTGTAAATAAATGTCAATAATACTCAGTCTCAGTATATAAACTAGTTTTTCTAGTTATTTTTTAAAAAAATGTTTTAACATTAAATTAATTTTTTTAAAACTTAATAGCTATGTCACTTCTTAGCTATAAATTTAAAATATTGCATTATTTTTGTTAAAATTTACAAATAACCATTTTTTTTGTTTTTTTTTATCTCTTAAATGTTTTCTCATAATCACACAAAATATTTATAACAATTTTTATTTTGCCAACATCTAAATCTTCATAGTGCAAAGGTATAAATGCAAAAGTTACAATTTACATTTTCATAGATTCTGTAACAGTTTTATTTGAAGCATATTATTTTCCATCTTAGAGAAGTAAAAGTGGAACTTTTTGAATGTGTAAAATAATCTCCAAAACACTATCAAATGAGTTTAAGTGCAATTCTCAACTTCCTTTTTGATAAAAACATTGTTTTTCTGGAGAGCAAACAGACTTAATGGCAAACAACAATGAGAAATGCATTAAATCTTTTTTGTGTTTTGGTTATATTGTTGTTCTTTCATAAGAGTGAATAAGATCTAAATTGGGAAAACTTGTTGAACCAGTTTATAGAATCTTATTTTTGAAGAATACTATTTCTGTTACATTACTAAATAAATGATAATTTTTCTTTTTTTTTTCATTG